AGCATTTCACAGACTTAAATGAAATATTGGTTGGCTGTTTGTTATTTTCTTCCCTTATTCCTTCCTGTCTCCGCTGTTAAGCACAATTATCCGCATAAAAGAGGTTTTTAATACCTATTTTTAGATTGCATTCCAGCCTGGGCAATGGAGCAAGACTCCTGTTCTCTCTTCCCCTTTCTCTTTCTCTTTCTTTCTTTCTTTAAAAAATAAAAAGTCAGAATTATTATATCTGGAACAATGGATGATAAGAGCCCATCAGAATTCTTCCTGCTGGGTGCAGTGGCTCATGCCTGTAATGCTAGCACTTTGGGAGGCTGAGGCTGGGAGATCACTTGAGGTGAAAAGTTTAAGACCAGTGTAGCCAAAGTGGTAAAACCCCATTTCTACAAAAAAATACAATTAGCTGGGCATAGTGGCAGGTGCCTGTAGGCCCAGCTACTCAGAAGTCTCTGGTGGGAGAATCACCTGAGTCCAGGGAGTTCGATGCCACAGTGAGCCATGAGTATGCCACTGCACCACAGTCTGGGTGACAGAGTGAAGCCCTGCCTCCAAAAAAAAAAAAAGAAGAAGAAGAAGAAGGAAAAAAAGAAAGAAAGAAACCATTCTAGGTGATTCACTGACATAATATAATTTATAGTTTGGTGAAGAAGATGAATATATATGGACTTAACTATAACACAAGACAATATTGTAAAAGTTGTACTCCAACCACAGTCCAAAATGCCTTAGAAGCACAAGGAAATTACAAATTCTGTGATATGAGGAAGACTTCGCAAACTACCAACTGACAGAGGCCTTAAGTACTTCTTAAGTTCTGAAAGAGAAGAGGTCCAGGCAGTAAGAACAGCCTAAAGGAAAAGTAGAGGCAGAAAATGTTAGCTACATGTGAGAAATAGGAAAACAACTGATGAATTATCGTTCCCTAAGCTATCACTATTTCAAATATCTCTACCAATTATATAGTTTTAATAAACTTATCCTAAAGAGCCAGTTGAGGTAAGCATTTTATTCAGTGAATTCTCGAAAATAAGCAGATGGTTATCTGCAGAGTGAATTAGTTGTTATCAGAGAATATGGTCACAATTCAGCTGGATCTCAAGCACCACAATTCCTGAATGTGGTGCTACACCCCGGTTACTCTCCATAGGCTTTCTCTTCAGCATTCCTGCAGCAGTAGGAACTGCTCTAACATCCTAGAATCGGTGACACACACTTCTACACACACCATAATCAAGAGCAAAGTATACATTTTAAGGACTATGAACTCATAACATAAAATGGAAAAATACAAAATCAAGCCATCTACATGGCTGTACTATGTACACCAGATAACTCTAGAATTAGAAGAGACTTTAGGGAAAATCTAGGTCAACCATGTGACCTAAATTGTGTCCATCAAGTTCTACCTCTCTGGAATTTACAATCAAGCTAAATATTACAGCCTCTCCTTATGTAGGGACACATAAATACTCAGGAGCTGCTGAGTAGCCACATCCAACTATGAAGAAGAAGAAAAAAAAAAGTCAGCAAAGAAAAACAATGAAACAAAGGCCAAGACTAGAGAAAGGGAATGTTCTAGGTTTTCCAGTCCCTGATCTCAGGCCCCAATAAGGTCTGCCTGCATTTGACTTCTAATCGGTTTCCAACAAATTCCTTTCTTCCTTTTTGCTACAATTAGTTCATTTCTGTTACTTGCAACAGAAGCTTAAATGAAGCAATAACCAAAATTTGTCATAAAGTCGATTGTTTGATGCATTACTGATCTTTTCCATACTTTCCTTCTTTGTATTTCCCTTAAAGCCATAAATATGACTTCAGCATACTTTACAAACAAATACATGAACAGGGATTAGGGACTGCACTGAGCATTTTAAAAGGAAAATCTATTATGCCCAGGAAAGAGAAAATACAGAATATTCAAAGTAAATCCTTAAGATACAGCAATAAGAAATGCTAACAAGTGGCAAATTAAATAGCTGATTACCCTCCTATCCAAATCCAATTTAATTCTGCTAAGTCAGATAGGTAGATCCAATTCAGTCTTCTCTGAGGTAAGATCAAAAGTTGACAACCCATTATAGGCTATTTCATCTGGAATGCTCCCAGATAACTAGACTTTCCAACCACAGGAATGTTTGGATGCTCTCTGGTGGTATCCCTAATCCAGACCTAAGCAACAAAACTGAATATCAAACTGTCTTAAGGCCTGGGCTTAACTATCTCTGAAAAGCAGTTAGGCATTTACCCTATGACATAATCAGCACTTTCTGCTATTAGATGAGGAAGACAAAGTAATAGAAACTTAACATGGAATCCATCCAGGTATGTAAACGTCTTTGTGCACGTTCCGGGTATTAAGACAATTCTGAGACAGATCCGGACTCTCCAAAGCTGGACCACACCCACCACATCTGGCTATGGTAGACGAGTTTGACATGTATAGCAAGTCATAGGCTGACAATCAGAATTTTGAACCACATGTAGTAGGTGGCTCTGCAGAGTTATATAAACAAAAACAGTATTATAGGATCTTGGAGTTAGAAGAGACATGGAAATTGTCCAACTTAATAATTTTACCAAGAAAGAAGCAACACATGGGAATCAAATTCATCAACCAAATCCATAACTATGATAAATTATACAGGTGCAGATAAATTAAAGAGATTGTGACCAGATTATGACAGAACCAAAAATGCGGTGGTGAGACCATGGCTCAGCACAGCCTCAATCTCCATGGCCCAAGCAATCCTCCGACTTTGGCTTCCCAAGTAGCTGAAACCACAGGCATGATTCACTATGCCCAGCTAATTTTTTTTTAATTTTTGTAGAGACAGGGTCTCCCTATGTTGCACAGGCTGGTCTTGAACTCCTTAGTTCAAGTGATCCTCTCGCCTTCGCCTCCCAAAGTGCTGGATTTCAGGCATGAGCCAACACATGTGGCCTTAAAATCTATTTTTAATTAATAAATGGCATATGTATTAGAAAAACTGATTAATCTCGCTGTTGAGATAGTCTTTGGATATTCTTTTGACTTGAGTAAAACAGTAAGGATTTCTGACTTAATAGATTAACATCTTAGTTAAAATATTGGAACAAGCACTTTTAAAAACAGAAAGCAATGTGTTAATTCAAAATCTAAATTACATTGTATGCTGCAACCTTGGCAGATGGGCATTTTCGGCACTGTGACAAAATGCTAAATGGCAAAGAGCTACTTATCTTAATACAAAAATTTCCAGATATTCATATAGGGCCCTAACAAAAGTCATCAGAAATTAGACTGATTATATCAACTGGGACCAAAATTAAAAGAATATATGTTTTAATGGTCCAAATATGAACTTGGTGTTCAAAATTATTGGCAAGGGGCCACTACAGTGGATTTTGGTCTTTGAAGGCCATTTCACAAGTATTAGGTAAGTCTATCACTAAGGAAAAAGAAAGCAAACATATATTTCCTGGCAATAAAATCCACTGTTCACTATCCAGCACAGTATTTTTCAGAAATCCATTGATAAAAATGTGAAATTAGAACTTGTTGTATTTCCCAAGAAGTGCTATTGAAGTTAATCCTAAAATATGAATCTATAAAAAGCAGTGTTTTTTTGAAAAACAATACTATGCAGAAACAAACATGAAACTGATATCACTGCTCAAATTACTATTTCAAATTACAAATTTAATCAAGTTAAATATTGAAAAAATCTGCCATTAATCTGAACTGACAATTTTATAAGTTATATGAACCCTGAAGATTTTTAATAGACAAAACCTTCTTTGAAACTTAATTTTGCCACCAGCCCTGCAAATGAAAATATGAAGAGATAAACCAGAGAGTACTGAATATAATCTATGCTTCATAGAGTCAGCTTTCAACTAATTTATGAGTCCTAGTTTGATACAGCTTATTTGACAATTTAATCTATTAATAGCAAAAACAAAAGCAAATTAAAATCTCCTAAGTAGTCTCAGCTCTAAGGAATTATAATTTATGTTCCTCCACTCCAGATAAAAGAAGCAAGAAGCTTTGATGACCACTCATCACAAATGTAAAAGTCCGTGCAATTTCACATTTACCTTTAACTTTACCTTTGTACTTTTAAATAATTGCTTTTTAAAATAATAATCTGATATTAAATTCCCCCTAATATTTTCCACGTGACTCAAGAAGATTATCTTATAACATCTTACTGTAACGACTTCAGAACTGCCACTTTCGATAGCTATTAGCCTGAAACCAAATAAGGCAGGAACAGCACTTTTCATTCACATAGTTAGACTTGAAATAGTCCAGTGTAAAACTTTAAAAATAGACTTCGATGTCTTTTTCTATTTAAAAACAAAGCAAAACCGGTACCTGGCAAACTCAGGGTTCTGTTCGATTTTGGCCTGTGAAATGCCAGCCGGGCCCGCGGGAGCCTGGCCCAGCAGCGTGGCAGCCGTGCAGGGAGGGCAAGCGGCGGGTGCGCCCCCGGGGTGTGCCCCTCCCCGCCGCCCGCCCGCGGCCCTGAGCCCCAGTCCTCACGGAGGCGCAAGGCGAAAAGCGCAGGCCTGGCGGGCCAGTTCCCACGCCCCGGGCCCGTTATCCGAGCGGCAACCCTGGCCGGGCCGACGCACGGAGCAGAGGGTTCGGGATGGTCCCCTCTCCTGGCTCCCGCGGGCTGCCCAGCCAGATCGCTCTCTCAGGGGCCCGCGCCTGGCGAGAGGCTCCCGTGGTTTCAGGCTTGCTCCCGGGACGGGATAAGGTGTCAGTGAGGCGGCCAGACGCCTCCCGTCGGCGGGTGGGGGTGGGGGGGTAGCCAGCCCTGACCTCCTTCCGTTCCGCCCCTCATCGCTGGCGCGGGGCGCAAACCTTCTGCTCCCCTTCTCGGCAGAGGCAGGGGCTGTCCCCGGAGAAGGCCGAAGGGGCGTGGAGGGGATCTGGGCTCGGGTCACACCCTAACGTGGCAGGGTCGGGTTGGGAGGAGTGAGGTGAGGAGGGGAGCAGAGCCCGAACTTACCTGACTGCGCACTTCCCAGAGCCGCGGCCGCGGCCAGGCAGAGGCAGGGGCAGAGGCAAAGCGAGAGGGGGCGCGGGAGGGTCTGCCGCGGGCTCATGGAAATGCCAAGCAGCCGCCGCCGCTGTCCGAACCTCTCTCCCTCCCTCCCCGGCTCCGGGCGACGGACGGGGCGGCGGGAGGCATGACGGGAAATTCCTGGGCACGGGCCGCCGAGTCCAAATATGAGCATAGGAGAAGAGCGAGGGAGGACCGTGGAGCGCGCCGGCCGCGGACGGGGCCCGCTGCCCGGGACTCCGCGGCCGCCAACTCCCTCCTCCTTTGCGCGGTCCTCCAGCTCCTCCTCCTCCTCCTCTAACGCCCCAGGGTTACCGGCCGCCCTCTGCCAGGGGGCAGGCATCCCTTTCCAACTAGAGATCCCAGATCAGAGCCACCTGGCGTGTTCCACCTGAGACCCCTGAAGGAGTGGGAGACGGACAAACCAACACGAAGAGACCGGACAGCCAGCCTGTGGGAAGACGTGTCAGGGGTTGAGAGCGCTGGGGGTGAGGGCATAAAAAGTTGTGGCAAATACTTCTCTAAGTGTGGGAGAGTAAGTCAGGAGCAGCGCTGCCAGTTAGTTACTTGGCCATCCTGTACATACTGAACAAGCACTCGCTGTAATACAGAGAACCAGCCGCCCGCGTTCCAGGTGAGCCGGCCCTCTCCAGCAGAGTGGGGGTGAGTGTGTGTGTGTGTTCGTAGCCAGAATTGCACAGGGGCTCATTCCAGACTTATATTTGAACATCGTAGATGCAGCCCAGGCAGGTTGGCTGAATAATAGTTTTTCACAACAAAATGCTTAAGTTTTCACCGGTCTTTCCACCTCCAATCTCTATTCATCTCCACCCCTACCCCCCTCCACACACTAGTTTTATATTTATTGTAGCTTGTCTAAAATGCAGTGCTGTAATTCATTCAGAAGGTGCCACCTCTGATGAACAAAATGTCTGTCCTAGATGTTTAATTACAGGCCCAAGCCTGTAGTTGCCTGACTTTTCCTTGGCACTGATAACTCCTTGGGTAATCAAGTCCAAATGACCCTTAGCTTTCAAGACAACATAATTATGTCTTAATTACTATAATATATTTTTTCCCTCAAACTAATGGGGCAGGACCTGGAGATGTAGGATGTTAAGTAATTACTTATGAACATTTTAAGATGCTAAATGCTACAGAAATGATTTATTGATCCAAAATACTTACGGGGTAAATGTCAAACAGATTTAGAGTGTGGATTATTTCAACATAAACTAAAGTGACGGTAATTTTTAAATCACACTATTTGTTTAAAATGCTATATCTGAAAATCCGAAACCTTGTTTCAAAACAAATTCAATTCTGGCGAAGTACTAAAACACATAAGCCAAAAAACAGTCCATTCCAAGTGGCTCCCCTCAAAACATCTGGTACTGAAAAACACCACATCCTGTGAATTACATGTGGCAAATGGGCAAATTTCACCATTAATGCACTGGCAGTTATAATGGGACTAAGGGTAGATGACCCAGATAAAGTAATGATGACTAAATTTTAGTGCAATGAATGATTTAAATGACACATAACATATGACTATTCAATTAGGTACCCAGAACCTAGGTAGTTGGAAATACTGAAGAAACTCTTCAGTATTCCCTCCATTTCCTCTTTTTTTATAGCCTTGTGTTACATAAGTGTCTGTTTTTCTACTTCCCCCACAACACCTTACAAAGTTCTTCGCCCATAGTCCAAATGTTTGTTTAAAAACAAAAATAAAATGAGCAAAGCCATTTGTAGACCATATAGGAGCTCCCTAAGTGTAAAGCATGTTTCAAAGGTTTATAATAATGACTATATTTTAAATATTTCAGTGAAGAACCTTACATACAAAAACACAAAATAAAGAATAAAGAATGCAATATCATTACAACCTAATTCATGTTAGTAAAAATAGAGAGTTCATTTTATTAACATAGCTGACATCACTGTCAGCCATGCCAACAGCTATTCTAAAGGCTTGAAAAAATATGTTAAGTGTGGCAAAAAAAAAAACACTAAAGTTACTGTGTGCATGATAAGTGCCAGACACTGTGCTAGATGTTTTATACCTGGTATCTCATTTAATCCTTACAAATATCTCTGAGATTATGTTTATCCCTATTTTACAGCTCAGGATACTGAGGCATAGATAAATAATATGCTACCAGGAAGAGGTGAAGTAGTATCAGAATTAAATCCTAAATTCTAAAGTGTATATATACTTTTACCATACTAATCTGTCTTATTTTCTCTACATTAAAAAAAAAAAGAAAAGGTGACATTCAACAACTGTATTCATTGGGCGCCTGTGGTTTTAAGTAACTGATATGCACTCGGGTTACCTCAAGTAACCAAGGTAAAGAATACATGTGGAAATAAGGCGAGAGGCTTACCTGGCTTGTCAGATCATCCTTTGTGGGCATGGTGGGTGGGGCCTGTGCCTTTGATAGCTAGGGAAACAGGAAAGGTACCACCCTCTTGACCGCATTCCTGTGAGTTTTGTAGTTTAACTACTGATATTTTAATCATATATTTCACAATTCTTTTTAAATGTGTTAATAACAATCATGTTACCATATTCCGTTCAACACATTGATTTTAAGGCCAAAGACCCAGAAGAGGTAGCTGCTTCTGCCTGCTTTCTACACCATCCCTCCCCCAACCCACTGGTGTGCTGGTAAACATTTAACAACCAGATCTGGATGAAAGGGGTAGAGGCCCTGATTTGCAGCATTAACCAGTTCACATGGTATAAATACTCCCACCAACCAGGTGTCTCTGAGGGCAGGGCTGGGAAGGGATGTACACAACCAGTTCTCAGGGCCATAGAGCCAGCTCTGGCATACCACAGCTGCAACTCATGAAATGTCTTCAGAACACAGAATAATTCAAGTTGCACAACCACAGCTCTTTGTCTCTCTGCCTGTCTTTCCACTTCTGCTCCCATAACCAGGTGCCAACTCTTTCCATATATCTCATAACCAAATGCCCCAGGGGGAAGAATCTGATTCTATCACTATTCTTAATATTGAGTCTGTCTCACAAGCCACTGAACAGCCTATAGAATGGCCACCCCCCAGCCAGGTGCAAGTTCTTCAGTTGTAGCTGAGATGGAAAGGTCACATATCAACAGAACATGACCACCTATCCTAAAGAAACAGACTGTTGCTATCTTTTTATAGGGCTGTGCTTGGGGCAGCCTCTTTCAAACAGAATAGGTAAACATCACAGGCATCCAAGCTGTAACCTCCCCGAGGAGCTCTTCTCAGCTCTTTAATAAAATCCCCTCAGACAGTGCACAAAGCCTTGGGACAGCCCCACTTCACATACCCCAAGAAGCATCTTACGTGGATGCCAATGACTGCAAGACGAGTGCCACTATTCTAAACCAATTAATGCTCAATTGAAGAGCAAGAGTAATACCTCTTAATGGGATGTAATTCTTCAAACTACACTCAGTACAAACTCCCCAAATTCTGCTTTCCTATAGTGGGAAGTGGGCGGTTATTACTCTTACCGCTGAGAACACTGTTTTATACTGATAGAAGCATGTCTCCTGTCTCAGTGCGCTACAATGGGAATAGGGTTGAGAACTGTTCTCAACAACTTGGGGGGCACACCATCAATACTGACCAGCTAAGGGAGATGCCTGAATTTTTCTCTCAGATTCTGAAAAATGATCTCCATTGCCATGACACCATCCAGCCCGCAGTCACCAAGTGCATTAACATAATAAGCACTCACTACCGGGAAATCAGGTAGGACTCCTAAGCAGATAGAAGACCAAATTAACTTGACCATTTTCCTTCTTTTCATAGTGAAGTGATTTGGCTGCATCTCCAATTGTGGTATTTTCCATTTGTCAAAGTCAAAGCTATCCCTTTTGTTGATTAATTCTGGAGAAAGTTGAAGTCTTTGTACTCCTGTGATTGACGTGGTGCCTGACTCTGCCAGATTTTGCCTTGGATATGCTGCAGTAAGTAATAAATATTTAACAAGATTTTCCATATTATAAAGAATTAAGTAATCATCTCTAGACCAGCAAAGCTGCTTGGCTTTTGGCAAGGTTTTATAATACAAAGCGAAAGAGGCAAAATCAACTACACACCACATACACACACACACACACACACACACACACACACCAGGACAATGGGAAGAATTAACATTTTAAATGGTACAGAAGCATTCTGATAGGAGACTTGATTCTGCTCTTTAATTACTCAGTCTCTGTTCCTAAGTGCTTCTTGTATTGCCAGTACCTCACCCTATTTATGTGTATGTCTAATTCTAAAGGTGTGTATTTTTCAAACAAGTTGGCCCTAAATTCAGATCAGCTCTTTTATCCGATGTTCAGCCAAAATGGCTACAATCTGGTCCAGTGGTAGAGGAAACTCTGGCTGTGTTACATTTCCTGGAAAATGGCATGTTACTCTCCAAAATGGTGCCTCAGGATATTTTCATTCACCCTGCAAGCTGCTATTACAGCCCAACCACCACATAAGAATCAGGACCACTCAGGAGTCAGGGACTTGGGCTTTGGTATTAGACAGATCTATCCAAGTGTGGCTTCTACCATGAAAGCTGTGGGCAGTGGACAAGAAACTTCTCTAAAGCTTTGATACTTCTGTCTATAAAATGGAAAAGCAAAGGTACCTACCACACGTAGTGCTTAGCACTGAACCCCGTGCTAGCACATGGTAAGTCCTTAATACATATCAACATAGTCCTAATATTATTAATTTGTATCATTACTTCCCAACTTTCAATCACTACAAAGTCACCCTTTGCCTTTAAAGCCTTATCTGATATGATTTCCTCTGTCTTAAATGACTCATGATTCATAGTTTCTCTTCACAGCTGAGTCCTGTGTTTGTATTCATAATTACCTCTTAAAGAAATCTGTTTAGATTTAGTAATCTCTTCACCACATTTTTCTTCAAAATTACTTTTTATATTTATATCTAGTTATTAACAGTAATTATTTTTATAATTTTTTTAAATCTTTAACTCCCTCAAAGCAATACTATTAGAAGACTACACACACATTTAATTATTCAAACTATTTTGTGAAAAATCACTTTTAGAATTGCCATCAAAATATATGATGCAATTTTTTTAAATATCTTTAACAAGAAAATCATCTTTGCAGTCATTCATTCACTCAAATATTTACCAAATGCTTGCTATGTGCTAGATAGACAATAAACAAGATAAATCAGTAAAATATTTAGTAAGTTAAAGAGTATTAACTACTGATAAGATAAATAAGGCAGAAAACATTGCTAAAAGTGTTGGGGAAGTAATGGTAATGACCTGAAAGAAGAAAGCAAGCCAATATCTGGGAGGTAAGGGAACAGCAAGCGAAAAGTCTGCGCCCAAGTCTGCGAAAAGTCCTGCTCCGTAGGAGGCCCATCCCAGAGGCCAGGTTAGAGAGTAGAGCATAAAAAGGGCAGTGAGCCGGGCATGGTGGCTCAAGCCTGTAATCCCAGCACTTTGGGAGGCCGAGTCGGGTGGATCACAAGGTCAACAGATCGAGACCATCCTGGTCAACATGGTGAAACCCCGTCTCTACTAAAAATGCAAAAAATTAGCTGGGCACGGTGGTGTGTGCCTGTAATCCCAGCTACTCAGGAGGCTGAGGCAGGAGAATTGCCTGAACCCAGGAGGCGAAGGTTGCGGTAAGCCAAGATCGCGCCATTGCACTCCAGCCTGCGTAACAGGAGCGAAACTCCGTCCCATAAATAAATAAATAAATAAATAAATAAATAAATAAATAAATAAAGGGCAGTGAGGAGATAGGGAGAGCATTAGGAGCTGCGACCTGGGAGGCAATCTTGTAGGAGCTTATGGGTCATTATAAAGACTTGGGCTTTCATGGTGAGACGAGGCTATCATAGTGTTTTCAGTGCAGCAGTGACATGATCTGACTCACATTTTAAGAATAACTCTGGCTATTCCGATAAGGCTTGTACATACCTTGTTAGGAGGTCTTGAAATAACCTAGGTGAGACAGGAGGTGATTTGGAGTAGAAAATATGTAGTGGCGGTGGTAGAAAGTGATAAAATTGCAGATATATTTGGAAGGAGAAGCCCACTGGATTTGCTGACAGACAAAATGTAGAATGTGAAAGAAGGAAAACTTAAAAGTTTAAATTAAAAATTTTTAATTGTGGTATATAGGTGCACACTGACTGGAAGCCAGTTTGGAAAGCAATAGGAGTCATCATCATTTCTTGAGTAGAGGAGAACCTAATGAAAGTAGCTTCTAGCCAGGTGTAGTGGCTTATGCCTATAATTCTAGCACCCTGAAAGGCCAAGGCAGAAGGACCCCTTGAGTAGTTTGAGACCAGCCTGGTCAATAGAGGGAGACCCCATCTCTACAAGAAAAAAATTTTTTATTTAAATCAGCCAGGTTGATGGCATGTCCCTGTAGTCCCAGCTACTAGGGAAGCTAAGGTGGAAGGACCACTTGAGCCTGGGATATTAAGGCTACTGTGAGCCATGATCATACCACTGCATCCCAGCCCAGATGACAGACAGACTGTCAGAAAAAAAAAAGAAAGAAGAAAGAGGAGAGAGAGAGAGTGAAAAAGAAAGAGAAGAAAGAAGGAAGGAAGACAGGGAGAAAAGGAGGGAGGGACGGAGGGAGGAGAAAGAGAGAAAAGAAAGAAAATAGTCTCTAAAAAGTGGCCAGTGGGGCAGATCGGAGAAAGAATAGTGTTGGGAAGCTCACCCAGGTAAGTATTGCAGATACCCAGACTTGAGATGATGAGGACCCCTAGACTAAATGGTAACAGTGAAACTCAAGATGAACAAGGAGATAGGGTAGGAATAAAGTTGCCAGATAAAATGCAGAGTGTCCAGATACATTTGAAATTCAGATAAAAATCAAAAACATTTTTTAGTATAAGTATATCCTAAGTATTGCATGGGGCAAACTTACACTAAAACATTATTCATGGTTTACCAGAAGTCCAAGTTTAACTGGGCATTGTGTATTTTCATTCGCTAAATCTGGCAGCCCTAGATAGAAACTGGTAAACTCACTCCCACCCCTGTCCTCATATTTCCATCAGAGACAAATTCTGAAACAAACAAAAAACTTGTGTAATGTGACCAGTGTAAAATGGAGACAAATTCATTGTTAGTCCAGCTGTCTTGAAGATCTTGAAGAGATCAGTAAAGATGTCAGTTTTCTTCCCAGATCTATTTATTTTCCAGCCAGGGCATGAGCCTTATTAACATTATGGCTATATTTATTCTCAATACAGGTTTGATACTACACTGTATAATTAAAAATACTACACTGTATAATGTATATGAATATGTATATGTGGGTGCATGTGCATGTTTAATGTATGGGTTGGTTAGCTAAGGAACTATAAGGTCAGAGTTCCTGCTGGAGAGAATATTGAATAGAAGCATGGATTGGAGGGCCCACAGTCAGTTCACTCATCATCCCCCAACCTACACACATGAACACACACACACACACACACACACACACACACACAACACGAGGGATATTTTCCCCATGGTTCTCTAAGCCTGTGGCCTTTCTTGATTGACAGTGTATGGCTTGAGTGGGAAGGAAGAAGGGCTCAGACTATAAGGCTCCTTTCAGTGGAGGAGTAGGGATAGTTGAAAGATTCAAAGAAGGGGATCCATTTGGAGTCATAACTTGAACCTACAAGCTGGTCAAGCAGAAGCTTTCAGGAAGGTGACTCTCTCTCTGAAACCATGAGACCCCTGGGTGATGCAAGGGGAAATTCAAAGTAGAGCTGCAAAACTTTAACCCTTTTCTCTCCTACTTTGTAATTCTGTTCTGGAATTGCCTTGCCAGGCCCTGATGTCTAATTTTGTGGAGACTGAAAGGTCAAAGCAGCAAGGAAAAGAGACATGGTTTCCACTCACTTCTCTTGTAGATACAGGGAAAGACTGTGATTCACAATTAATGATTGACAGTGCCCAAGAACAGCCCACAGTGAAGCTAGAGGCCACAAAAGACCTGCAGTCTGAATCCTTGGGGAGTATTACTTCTTTTCTTTTCTGTTTTTTGTTTTGTTTTGTTTTTTGTTTTTGTTTTTTTTAATGGCACAGTCTGGCTCTGTTACCCAGGCTGGAGTGCAATGGCATGATCACAACTTATAGCAACCTCCACTTCCCGGACTCAAGGAATTCTCTTACCTCAGCCTCCCAAGTAGCTGGGACCACAGGTGTGTACCACCATGCCTGGCTAATTTTTTTTTTTTTTTTTTGATAGAGACAGAGTTTTGCCAGGTTGCTCAGGCTGGTCTCGAACTTCTGGGCTCAAATCCTCCTGCTTCAGCCTCCCAAAGTGCTGGGATTACACCAAGTATGAGCCACTGTGCCTGGCCTGTTGGGGGTATTTTGGAGAAGACAAGTGGAAGAGAAAGTAAGGTCAACCTTCACAACTGGCTTGTGGCCTAATAAAGGCTGCTCCTGAGCAAAAGTGAGCCATGCTCATTTTTGGATATATGGATAGTAGAGATATAGGGGAACACTTGGAAGGACTTGGATACTGACTAAATTCTCAATAGTAATAAAGAAATTTGCAGAGGAAGTGAGAGTCTTCATCCTTTTGTGACTCCTCAAAGGGTAAAGGATACTTAATACATGCTGTTGACTGACCCTTCATAGTGGTGGGAGGAATGATTAAAGTACAATTTATGTGTTTCAACTCTCACAGAGAAAACAAATACAGCAGATAAACTATCAGCCACTTATCTTTTCATGGTAACATAAAATGAAATAAAACAAGAGTTCCTTCTAGAAAACATTTATACTCTGTTCCCAGTGATAATAGTTACAAGAGCAAGTAAAAATGGTTCATGTTAATAAAAATATGTAACTGTATCGCAACCAGAGCTCTGAAAAATTCAAGACATTTTGTGGAAAAAGACCCAAAAGAGATATTTACTATAGTATCTGAAGTAAAAGCAAAGCATTAAAACAATCAAAACATCTTCCAAGCGAATCAAATGGGAGTCAGCTAATTTCATGTTACTTCATATCAATAAGGAAAAATACATTGGAAACCCCGTATACAAAGTAAACACTGATATTGTCAACATGAATAAAATAGCTCTTAACTGTTTCCAACTTTGCCTCTAAAATTCCTTTGGCCTGAGGGCATAACATATTATTTCCTTTCTTCTACTTTGTGGGAAGTAACACACCCATTTCAATCTTTGTCACTTTTTTCCGAATATCAACATTCATGGGAAGAATTATTTGGAGCTGCTCTGATGATCCTCCCTAGATTGATACCACAATCAGATTCAGAAACTGTATGGCAGTAGGTCTCAAACTTTAAAATCAGAATTACTTGGAAAGTTTCTTAATATTCTTGGGTCTTTCCCAGATACAGCAATTCAGCAAGTCTGGTGAAGGGTTCAGGAATCTGCATACCTAACAAATACCCAATGTAATTCTAAGACGGGCTGTCCATAGATCATTCTTTGAAACACTCTGGTTTAGAGTTACTGGAGTAATTTTCAAGTCTGCTTTCCAATGGGGCATAAGTTTTAATCTCTCTTTTCTATAATGCCCATTAACAGGGGTAAGAAAGATTAATAGATAAATACAGGAATGTATATATGACACAGCTTTCATGACCTTTCCAAAATACATGGCTTATTCAAAATCCAACTAATCAAAAAAATCAAATAGCTAGAATTTTTAGTTTTATCCTATAATAAGTGAGGGTCATTATGAAATGAGGCAATGTAAGTTTGTGAATTGTTTCCTAATTCATCAAAGATTAAATTAAGCTGCTTATAGTGTCAGTGCTATAATTTTCTGAAATTATCTTTTAATTCAGTTATAACTCTTAGGTAACTGTGATATTAAATTTACCAGGATACATTTTTAATAATTATTCCAGGTAAATAGGAATTCACTGTACCAACCTAATACTAGAATATCATATACTTTATTATATCAAAATATAAAGTCAAATTTTTTCTGACATTATGAAAATAATATGCCTTCTCTACACATTTTAATTACACAGAGACTATTTCTTCGACCAATATCTATATAGGATAAGCTTCTGTTTTATAACTAAGTTGTGTTTTAAGTACATTGAGCTGTCCTTGGGGAAAACCAAGAAAAGCAATTTTGATTTTTCCATGTTATTAAAGCATAATAGAACATGAAAATGACAAATTGTTATATAATTAGAGGTTTATTTAGATATAATACAATGTAATTTTTGAAAATGTGCTTTTATTTCAATGTGATGTATTAAAATGTGGCTAATATTAAATGTAGAACAATGTAGAATTCATAATGACGGATAACAGAGTAAGTGGCCAATCTGCACGGCTCATGGCTAGTTCCTTGAGGTTGCAAATGGGATTCAACAACCCACATGGCTGCTTATATAAATAATCACTCTTGCTGTCTGCTTCTCTCGTTTATATTGCTCCCTATTATTTTCTAGGGACGTCGCCATACAACCAAGCCATATTGTTACAAGATGTAATCACATGAATTAATTTTTAAGACTCCTATGGTTAAACAAATATTACACTAGCTTATATGTTTAGAGGAACATTACGGAACATTTTAATAACACAGGACTAATTATAGACAGTCATTTTCAAGATTTAATGTCTTCTGTTGGAATGCACAAACTGGTCCATTGCAGTCAGATTGACAACTCTGTAATGAATGACACTATCCTAGTTCCAGTGGTAATAATTTTTCAACACTGCCATACATGGTATCTGATCTCAATGTTATTCACATTGAGAAAAAAATTACATTTTGATGTTTGCCTTTTTGAAGCAGAAGTACTAAGCATAAAAGAAAGACATTATGAACACAGTAGTTGAGGAAAACAATGAGATGAATCATTTAGCAAAGATGAAAGACAAGGTATACCATTTCAAAGCAAACAAAAAGGATATAGTAGTTTCAAAAGTACAAAAACAGTTAAGAGTGAAAAGCAACAAGTTTCAGAAATAAAGGACTATATCAAAACTTCTGGGCATTCAAAACTGTACTCAAAAGGAATACACCAGAGAATTCACCATTAATATGATGTTTGCTCTGGGTCTTTGGTAAATATCTTTTATCAGATTTAGGAAGTTCCCTTCTACTACCAGTTTGCTAAGAATTATTTTTTGCAAAAGAATGTACGAACATTTAATTTCATCAGATGCTTTTGCTATATCTATTTGAGATGATCATATTACTTATTTCATTTATTTTGTTAATGTGACAAATTATACTGATTTTCTTTTTTCTTTCTTTCTTTTTTTGAGATGGAGTTTTGCTCTGTCACCAGGTTCCATGATCTCAGCTCACTGCAACCTCCACCTCCTGGTTCAAGAGATTCTCTTGCCTCAGCATCCTGAGTAGCTGGGATTACATGCAAGCACCACAACACCTAGCTATTTGTGTGTGTGTGTGTATTTTTAGTAGAGATGGGGTTTCACCATGTTGTCCAGGCTGGTCTCGAACTCCTCACCTCAGGTGATCCGCCTGCCTTGGCTTCCCAAAGTGCTGGGATTACAGGTGTGAGCCACAATGCCAGGAATGTCAGACTGCATTCCTGTAATAAATCCAACTTGGCCATGATGTGTAATTCTCACTCCATGTTGCTGACCATTGGTTTGCTGACCAATTTGGTTTGTTTGGGATTTTTGCTATTTTCTCTATTTAGTGAAATTGGCCTGTGAATTTTCCCTTTTTGTCTGGTATTTGCATTAAGCTTATGCTAGTCAGGAGTGTACCCCCTTTTTCTATTTGCTGGAATAGGGAATATATCATTTTAAAAGGAAGCACTGAAGAGATAATACATTTTCTGAAGTCTTATGTGTGAGCATAGAGTTTTGAAATGTTAAGGGATCACAATGAAGAACAGCAAAGGAATGTTAAAAAGTAAGTCATATTATCAAGTTGTTGCTTTCACAGACCAGTTTAGAAATAGTAACAGTGATGTTACATGATAGTCATTTTACATTATTTCACTGAGTTCTCTTGACAACACAATTATTACTGTTTTAAAAATGAAGAAAATGAAACTATTTAAGTAAGTTGCCTAAGGCCAAACCACCATCAGTATGTGTCAAAGCTGAAATCTAAGCATGGTTCTGATTCCAGAGACAACGCTCCTAACCACATATCCCTCTTTACCCTGCCCCACCCGCCACCTGGTCTCTCAATGGAAGGATTGGCTGTGTTTCAGAAGTCCTTTCCTACACCTGCTAACAATAACGACCTATGGCAGGCAAAACAAACATAGTCCTTTTCCAAAGTGCTGAAATTATTAATATCTCCACTGACCAGGCCTGGGGCTTCCTCCTGGAACAAGGCCCAGTATGGACTCAGAGATAAGGAATGCTTCAGGTCTGAGTTCTGAATGCTGGGCAGGGACCACTGGGGTTTTTCCTGGTGGCAGGACTCACACTGGCTGGGCTAAAGGAGACAACTATGGAGTGGGTCACACTTTATGTTGGCTTTTAACAAAAGCTTCCAGAAACCACTGGTACAAGGACAGTATCGGGTGGCAAGGAGCAGCCATAAGGCCCCCCCCACTAGCATATTTGCACCACCAGGGCCGTGATTACCCCCAGGTCCCAACCTCAGAGCTGCTGCAGGCACAGACTTGTCAGCTGTGAGCTTCAGGTTTCTTCTGAGGAGGCTGATAAATCAAACTGCCAAGTTTAAAATTCCTCTCCCCTCAGGAAAAGAATGAGCTTAATAGTCACAGGTAAAATGGGGCAGTAGCACATTGCTGTGGCTGGTCAGGATGGAGGCATTGGCTCACTCATCTCTGTACTCCAGCCCTCCAGCTTGGGGGCCTTTCTCTCTAAAATTCTGCCAGTTGCACATCCCTCGTGATATGGTTGGCTCTGTGTTCCCACCTAAATCTCATCTTGAATTGTAGTTCCCATAATCCCTACGGTTTGTGGAGGGACCAGGTGGAGATAATTGAATCATGGGGGGGTGATTTTTTTTTTCCCCATCTGTTCTCGTGATAGTGAGTTAGTTCTCACGAGACCTGATGGTTTTATAAGAAGCTTCCCCCCTTCTCTGGGTGCTCAGGTTCTCTCCTGTCACCCTGTGGGGAGGTGCTTTTCATCATGATTGTGAGTTTCCTGAGACCTCCCCAGCCATGTGGAACTGTGAGTCAGTTAAACCTCTTTTTCTTATAAATTTCCCAGTAGTAGGTATTCCCTTCATGGCAGTGTGAGAACAGACTAATGCACCTTCCTTTCTCAAATGTCCCAAGTTTCTCCTTAATAAACACTATGGCCAGGTGTGGTGGCTCCTGCCTATAATCCCAGCACTTTGGGAGGCCGAGGTGGGTGGATCATTTGAGGTTAGGAGTTCGAGATCAGCTTGACCTATGTACTGAAACCCCATCTCTACTAAAATACAAAAATTAGCCAGGTATGGTGGCAGGTGCCTATAATCTCAGCTACTCGGGAGGCTGAAGCAGGAGAATCACTTGACTCAGGAGGCAGAGGTTGCAGTGAGCTGACACTGTGCCACTGCGCTCCAGCCTGGGTGACAGAGCAAGACTCCCTCTCAAAAAACAAACCCTCTTACGCCTGCAAACTATAAAGTGAAACAACTAATTGGATGTGAGAACCAAAAGAGAAATGAAAGGTGTGTGCTTAGGGACAGAACAACAATCCTCCTCTTCAGAGTGGGGAGATAAAGCAGGGTTGGGCCAAGCTCCTGTGGGAAAGCAGGGTGCTGAGCGGCAGGGTCAGGAACAGGCACAGGGTAGTGATGGTGCATAGGTGGTGCTTGGCGTGCAGCCTTTCCCAATCCTCCCACTTCCAATCTTCCACAAGCCTTTTTATTTTTAAAACTGGGAGTAGAGACTAGGGTCGGGCCAGGTGAGAGGAGTTGAAAGTTAACTGCTAGAGAATAGCAGAATCAAAGGCACTCAGTCTGCAACCTACTCTGCTGAGATGCAGCCTGAGAGGAGGGGCTCCTGGTTTTGAATTTGCAGCTCCTCCTCAGGTACCATCTGAAGGAGCCTCCATCACCTAGGATCTTGTTAAAACAAAGCGTTCTGCTTTTGTGGCATGGCATCCCAAGGGTGTGAGGATGGAGACAGTAGGAAAGAATACACCACAGATTTGTAGACAGCTTTGAAACCAACTGGTTCAAAGGTGCTTTTTGCCCTTCCTCATGGCTGGTCTGTCTACAATTGTTGGCACTGGCTTTATTTTGAATTTTAAAATGGCAGCTAGAGAGGTTGGTGGAATAGGATAAGCCCCGACTCTTAAGTTCCACTGCTTTCCAACAGAAATTGTTAGACAAGTTACTTTGACCTCAAGGAACCTAAGTTCCTCTTCTGCAAACTGGGGTTATCACCACCCACTTCAGTCACTGCCCTTAAGAGAGATGACAAAAGAGAGATGGTACCTATTAGATAATTATTATGCACAAGGTGCATACATCGATGTACGAAAAGAAGAAAAAATTAAAAAAAATTATTATTGTCTGAGATTCATTGCCAAGGATTGGCTGTAATTTGTATTACCAGAGGAGATCAAATTTTGCATATAGAATAGACAATCATGAGAATCTCAATTAAGGTAAACATTTAAATATGTGTAACATACTCATAGTGAAATTTTGTAAAATACATATGTAATCCAACAGATTTGTCTCCATTGCTAAATTTTTGAGCATTTCCTTCCATTTGCATGTAGAGAATACACTCCATTTATTTTAAACATATAATTTTTCACCTTTTAACAGCTCTAATATAGAAATAATACATTTCAGAATCAATGATACCTTAAAATTGTTGTCAAAATTACAAACAAAGATAAAATTGCTGCCTACCTGCATTAAGGTTCATTTCTGCCAGGGGGATGGATGTTTTCTTCTTCCTGGAGGGAAATTTACTTTTTATTTATTTATTTATTTTCAGAGAAGTATTGAAAGTTTATTAAAAAGCTTTAGAACAGTAAGGAAAGAAAGGAAAGAAAAAAAATGAAGGAAAGTACACTTGGAAGAGGGCCAAACAGGCCACTTCAGATACCAAGTACATAGCTTGACCTCTTGGCTTGGGGTTTTAAATGTTGGCATACTTCCAGGATCTTGCCTGCCTTCTCCCTACTTCTGAGATCTTCTTGGGAAGCTGCTGATCAGTTTCAGGTGTTTGAGATGGCGGCTCACTCTGTTGCCCAGGCTGGAGTGCAGTATTGCTATCTCAGCTCACTGCAACCTCCACCTCCCAGGTTCAAATGTTTCTCCTGCCTCAGCCTCCTGAATAGCTGAAATTACAGGCATACACCATCATGCCCAGCTAATTTTTGTATTCCTTAGTAGAGACGGGGTTTCACCATGTTGGCCAGGCTGGTCTCTTAACTCCTGACCTCAGGTGATCCACCCGCCTTGGCCCCTCAAAGTGCCGAGATTACAGGTGTGAGCCACTGCGCCTGACCTCAGGTGTTTTCTATTAGAAAACTGCCTTTGCCTTTCCCTGGCAGTTATTACCTATCTATTTAGCAATTATTACTTTCAAGAAACTGTTAACCACCTGACCATAAACTAATGGTCACCCAACACTCCTAGTATATGTGGTATCCTGCCCTGCTCATACCTACTAGCTACCTACTGAAACAGTCTTTCCTGATGCCTCAGAAGTTTTCAACACCATTGAACACTAATTCCCTCTGAAAATGCTTCTTTATCTTTCTACCTCACTAGCTCCTCCAACTTAGTCTCATTTGCTTGCTGCTCCTCTTCCTCCTTCCATCTTGAAATGTTGGAATACCCAACACTCCTCTGCCCTGTCTGTCCTCACTTCCTGTGTTGATCAACACAGGAATCCAGTTATGTGGCTTTAAGTTCCATCTGTATACAATGATTCCCAAATGTATAGCTCTATCCTTGTCTCATCCTTTGAGCAGTGATTTTTCTGCTCTAAATCTCCTCTTGGATATCTAATAGGCTTCTCAAACTTAATATATCCAATTAAATTTTGGGTATATTAAGTTTGAGAAGCCTGTTAACCAAGAAAAGATGTAGAGCAGAACTACTTGGTTTTTTTCTAAGACAAGGTCTCTCTCTGTCATCTCTGCTGGAGTGCAGTGGATGGTGCAACCACAGCTTGCCCCTATGAGCAGTTTACATTTTCTCTTTGCTTAAGCTTTGTAGATGATGCTGGTAGTAGGAGTTGAAACCACAATCTGAACAAAGAATGATTGGTTTCTTTACAGTTCCCTTCTAGAGATAGATCTACTTCTCATTTACCCTTACCCTACTTTATGCTAGGGTCTTCTATTACAGTCTACACCTTGAATGTAATTTTTGTTGTTGATTTCTGTTTTGGGGGCCAGAGAAAATAATGGTGCCTCTTACAACTGACAGTGTCTTTCATGAAATATATTTGAGGCCAAGTGTAGTGGCTTACACCTGTAATCCCAGTGCTTTGGAAGACTGAGGTGGGAGGGTAGCTTGAGGCCAGGAATTTAGACCAGCCTGAGCAATATAGCAATACCCTCTCTCTGCAAAAAAAATGTTTTAATAGTGTACATGCCAGTAGTCCTAGCTACTCAGGAGACTGTTTGAGCTCTGGAGTTTGAGGCTACAGTGAACTATGATGGACTCACTGTACTCCAGCCTTGGTGACAAAATGAGACCTTGTCTTTCTCTATAAAATGTATGTGTGTGTGTGTGTATATATATATATATAGATATATACACACACACATATATATGAATGATATAGTGTACATGTAACTTAAGCAGTACATAGTCACTATTTTCTACATCTTAATCTTCAAAAGCACTATTTTAATGATTTCCCAGAATTCTATTTAATCATGTTACTTATTACCATATCTGTAGATTTAATTGCTTTTAATTTTTAATCACGATATAAATAAAGTTGTGATGAATATCATTTTAATCTATCTTCATGTTATCTCTGGTAATTTCCTCAGAATAGACTCCTAGAAATTAAAACAGAGGTCAAAGGATATGAATGTTAAAATATGTTTTGGTTGCATATTGCCAAATTGACCTTCAGAAATGCTCATCACATTACACAACAAGCAACTGATTTATAAAAGGCCTATTTTCCCTAAACCAAAGTCAGATTTATCCAATTACTTATAAAAATACCTTCTCAATTGTTCATTAATTTGCCTTTATTTCTGTGGCTGAACGTTTCATGTATTTATAGACCATTTGCAGTTGTTCATTTGTGGATCATCTCCTGATGTCATTTGACTACCTTTATGTTGGAATATTGGTCTTTCTATGTTAGAATATTTTTTAAGAATATTTTTGCAATCATATTTGTAGCTAATTTCTTGTCTTTTAATTTGTTCTTAGAATTTTTGGATTCTGGTAACTTTTCTTTTTTTAGTTTATTTTTAATTTATTTATTTTTAAGACGAAGTCTTGCTCTGTCACCCAGGCTGGAATACAGTGGCGTGATCTCGGCTCACTGCAATCTCTACCTCCTGGTTCAAGTGATTCTCCTGCCTCAGCCTTCTGAGTAGCTGGGATTACAGGCACGCACCACCATACCCAGATAATTTTTGTATTTTTAGTAGAGATGGAGTTTCACCATGTTGGTCAGGCTGGTCTTGAACTCCTGACCTTGTCATCTGCCCGCCTCAGCCTGTTAAACAGCTGGGATTACAGGGATGAGCCACTGTGCCTGGCCAATTTTTCTTTTTTAAAAAAATTTTATTTTACGTTCTGGGATACATGTACAGAACATACACGTTTGTTACATATTGTAAATATGTGCCATGGTGGTTTGCTGCACCTATCAACCTATCACCTAGGTATTAAGCCCCACATGCATTAGCTATTTATCCTAAAGCTCTCCCTCCCTGTGCCCCATTGAGAGGCCCCTGTGTGTGTTGTTCCCTGTATCCATGTGTTCTCATTGTTCACCTCTCACTTATAAGTGAGAACATGTGTTGTGTGGTTTTCTGTTCCTGTGCTAGTTTGCTAAGGAAAATGGCTTCTAGCTCCATCCATGTCCCTGCAAAGGACATGATCTCATATCTTTATATGGCTGCATAGTATTCCATGGTGTATGTGTACCACATTTTCTTTATACATTCTATCATTTGGGTTGGTTCCATGTCTTTGCTGTTGTGAATAGTGCTGCAGTGAACATACACGTGCATGTATCTTTTTAATAGAATAATTTATACACTTTTGGGCATACACCCAGTAATGTGATTGCTGAGTCAAACGTTATTTCTGCATCTAAGTCTTTGAGAAATCGCCACAGTTTTCCACATTGGTTGAACTAATTTAGACTCCCACCAACAGTGTAAAAGCATTCCTATTTCTCCATAGCTTCACCAGCATCTGTTGTTTCTTAACTTTTTAATAATCACCATTCTAACTGGTGTGAGAAGGTATCTCATTGTAGTTTTGATTTGTGTTTCTCTAACGACCAGTGATGCTGAGCTTCTTTTAATGTTTATTTGCCACATGTCTTCTTTTGAGAAGTGTCTATTCATATCATTTGTCCACTTTTTAATGGGGTTTTTTCTTGTAAATTTGTTTAAGTTCCTTGTAGATTTAAGTTACTTGTAGATATTAGACCATTCATCACATAAACAGAAATAAAGACGAAAACTGCATGATTATCTCAATAGATACAGAAAAGGTCTTGGATAAAATTCAACATCCCTTTATGTTAAAAACTCAATAAACTGGGTATTGATGGAACATATCTCAAAATAGCAAGAGCCATTTATGGCAAACTCATAGCCAATATCATGGGGAATGGGCAAAAAGTGGCTGCATTCCCCTTGAAAACTAGTACAAAACAAGGATGCCCTCTGTCACTACTTCCATTCAACATAGCATTGGAAGTTTTGTCCAGGGCAGTCAGGCAAGAGAAAGAAAAGATATTCAAATAGAAAGGAAGTCTCTGTGTGCAGATGACATGATCCTGTATGTAGAAATTGTCTCAGCTCAAAAGCTCCTTAAGTTTATAAGCAACTTCAGCAGTCTCTGGATACAAAATCATTGTGCAAAAAAAATCACAAGCATTCCTATTCATCAACAATAGACAAACAGAGAGCCAAATCATGAATGAACTCCCATTCACAATTGCTACAAAGAGAATAAAATACCTAGGAATACAGCGAACAAGGAAAGTGAAGGACCTCTTCAATGAGAACTACAAACTGCTGCTCAAGGAAATAAGAGAGAACACAAACAAATGGAAAAACATTCCATGCTCCTGGATAGGATGAATCAATATTGTTAAAATGGCCACACTGCCCAAAGTAATTTATAGAGTCAATGCTATTTCCATTAAACTACCATTGACATTCTTCACAGAGTAGAAAAAACTAAAATTCATATGGAACCAAAAAAGAGCCCATATAGCCAAGACAATCCTAAGCAAAAAGAACAAAACTGGAGGCATCATACTACCTGACTTCAAACTATACTACAAGGCTACAGTAACTAAAATAGCATGGTACAAGTACAAAAACAGATGCATAGACCAATGGAACAGAATAGAGATCTCAGAAATAAGACTTCACATCTACAACCATCTGATCTTCGACAAACCTGACAAAAACAAGCAATGGAGAAAGGATTCTCTATTTAATAAATGATGCTGGGATAACTGGCTAGCCATATGCATAAAATGGAAACTGGATGACTTTCTTATGCCTTATATAAAAATTAACCCAAGATGGATTAAGGACTTAAATGTAAAACCTAAAACTATAAAATCCCTAGAAGAAGATCAGGCAATAGCATTCAGGGCATAGGCATGGGCAAAGATTTCATGACGAAAATGTCAAAAGTAATTGCAACAAAAGCAAAAATTGACAAACGGGATCTAATTAAGCTAAAGAGCTTCTGAATAGCAAGAGGAACTATCATCATTGTGAACAGACAACCTACAGAATGGGATGCAACTTTTGATACAAGCAAACATAACATTTTTATCATTTCTTGATCTCTGTGCTTAGACTCATATCAAATGTTTTCCTCTAATTTTTCTTTTGCTTATTTTATGACTATTTCTCAAGTCTGTATTCCTCCTGGAACTTATCTGGGTGTAAGGGTTATTGTCTTGTGAGGTTTATTGCCGAGTTTAAAATGAGGAAACTGAGGCCTGCATGAGAACAATTAGATGCCAATTTATTCAGCTCTCGGGTGAGGATCTGTGGTCCCGGGTAAAGAGGCCAGAGAAGTCATGCCCGACTTCTCTCAGGCGTGGGGTTTTATAGGGAGTGAAGGCATTTGATTGGCTGTGGAGAAACAGGACGTGGACAGGGCAAGCTGCTATTGGTAGGTAGGTGGGATTTCCAGTGAGCAGGCTAGGTGCTGAATGCAGAGCTTAGTGCTGAGTGCAGAGGGGATTTCCAAGGCAGAGCTAGATGATGGGCATACTCTGGTGAGGTAATTTTCAGGCGGGGAGAGGGATGGGTGTGTCTGAGCTCCTGGCAAGGCAACTGGCCTCACATTCCGACCCTTTTAATGATATATAGGATGCCACTTCTTTCTGGCTACTTCCTGCTGAATAGGGACAGAGTGAGGGGGAGGGGTCAGTTGGCTGGTGCCTCGATTGGGAGTTGGACATAGGGGTGAAGTATCATCTGGTTTATGGCCAACCTGGAAATTTCTCTCATGTGGGCCTGTAAAAACTTGAGGAAAAAGGGGGCTAGCATTTGAAGATACACAATGATAACGGGGGTGATAATGGGAGCTAGACAGGTAAGCATGGGGGATTGCCACTAGTTGAGAGATGAGGCTGGTGTGCTCTGCTTCCTGCAGAGGTTCTCTTGGGAGACGACAGAGAGTGTTGACATTTTCTTCCACAAGGCCTGTTTCATTGATATAATAAAAGTACTGCACCTGGAGAAACAGACAGGTACCTCCTTTTTCTGCCATTAGCAAGTCTGGGGCCCATCAGTTCTGGAGAGTCACCTCTGCCAGTGACGTGGTTTGTCGCTGGAGGGAGGCTAAAGAGGCAGCTGATGCTTCAATAGCCATAGGGAGCTTGTCTTCCAGTTGAGCAGCTGAGGTGATGCTGTAGCCCATGGCACCACTCCCTATTCCAGCTGCTACTAAGGAGGGTGCTAAAGAAGGGCCAACTACTATCAGGAGGAAGACTGCTCATTTGCTTCAGCAATTAGGGGAATGATGTGATGAGGGATAGGAACCCAGCTTGTCCGTACACTTCTAACTGCGGGAGTAGTGTGATGGGCACACAGGGGAAAGGGAGGGATGCATCAATAACTTTGGTTAGGGTTCCATTACACCAAAAGTATCCTCCTGGAAGCACATAAAGGGAGGATTTTACTTCTACCATGATGTTGCACCTGAGGCTGAGGCTGCTGGCTGTCCTATAGCAGAGAGAGAGATTTTGAGAATGTACTTTGAACAAGGGGATACCCATTAAGGTGGTGTCAGGCCCTGTGGAAGATTGTGACAGGTTGAGTCCTGAAGGTCGAACTACCAGACATAGTAGGAGTTTGCTTTAAGAGGAGATACCAGAAGGATTGTTAGGAGGATAATTTGAAGGGTTAGGAGTTGACGGGTAGGGGTTACAGATGAGGCAGAGGCGAGTGGGGCCCAAGGGTTCAGATTTCCACTGATTGTTTTTTTGGGAGCCAGTTTGAGGCAGGATACATGGTACCAATGGGTGTGGCCTAAAAGTTTGGTGGCAGTCGGGGTGGTTAGGATAACGATGTGGGATCCTGACCACTTGGGCTGCAAAGACCATGGCTTGAGTTCCTGGAGGAGGACACTGTCACCTGGCTGAAGAGGTATAGTCGGGTGGGAGTCCTCTGGTCCTGGAACCTTGGGGAGAGTACGGTCCGTGTGTTCCCTGAGTAAGTGGCGGAGGAGAGAGAGGTAGGGAAGGTAGGAAGCCAGAGGAGGTGGTTATACCAGGAGATTATGAGAAACCAAAAAAGGCCTGCCATACAGCAACTCAAAAGGGCTGAGACCTGTTGGCTCCCATGGGGTGGCTCAAACCCAGGCTAGGGCAAGGGTTAAGAGTGTGGGCCAAAAGAGTTTTACCTCTATGGTGAGTTTGGCCAAATGATCCTTGAGGATGCCATGAGCCCATTCAGCCTTACCCAATGACTGAGGGTGGTAGGGTATGTATAGTTTC